CCCCAAAACCCCAAAACCCCAAAACCCCAAAACCCCTCATTTAGTTATATTTACGATATTTTAATATTAATATCCGTTCTCTGCCATGAATGTTTTATATTTTGGATAATTCAAGAAGAAAAGCTTTGCTGCTCTAATATTTTCTATTCCCGCTAAATCGATTGCATTCATTCCATCATGGTTCTCTATGAGGGCATTGCCCTTATGGTCTTCCAGAAGCTGAAGCAATTGTCTATTCTTTGAAGTCACTGCAAAATGGTAAGGTGTATTGCCTAAATTATCCTGTAAATTAGGCTTGGCACCCCATTTAAGCAAGATCTTGCCACTTGAAAAATTGTTACTCAGCATCGCGAAGTGTAAAGGAGTTGCTTTGTCCTTATAATTTCAAATTTGGTTAATATTTTCTCCTTGAGAAGCGAGGAATTCCACAATTTTGAATGCATCTGTTCCTGCTGCTAAGTGCATCAGACTGTAGCTTTGCTTTTGGGTTAAGTCTCTTTTCTTAGAAGTATAGATATCATAAACTCATCCTAGGAAGTTTTCGTCATTTGATCTTATAATCTCTTCAAAAACATCATGGTTATGCTGATGTTTGTGCCAAAGATTTGCTCCATGCTCGATCAGTAGATTCAGAGAGTCATATGCATTCATAAAGGCAGCGAAATGGGCAGGAGTCCATCCCTCGGCATTCTCAATGTCGATAGATTTAGTAGGTCTATTTTCTAACAAATAGTTCAGAATATGGACATTGTTATTAGTTGCTGATATATGTAGGCAAGTCAAGCCATCTTTCTTAGGTTTGATCATATTTCCTCCCAATTTATACAATTTCTTGACCATACCAAAATTATTCTTAGCCGTTGCCCACAAAAGAGGGGTCCATTCATGGACATTAGTGTTATCATTAATGATTTCTTCAAAATACGGAAGTTCCTTGAGCACATCAATGCACTCAAAATCTCCTTTGTAAGCAGCATCATGAAGAATAGACATGTCTTCTTCCTTATTTGTAATGAAATTGACAGGCTTAACATGCTTGAGGGAGTTAAACATTGCTTCATATTCCTTGACCTTGTAAGCACGAAAAGCCCTCCGAACTGAGATATTTGCTCCAAATTTATATCTGCTCAAAAACTTTGTGGCCATCTTTAATTATTTCAACTTTACTTCAAAGATTAGGGGTTTTGGGGTTTTGGGGTTTTGGGGTTTTGGGG